AAGAATGTGAACAAGGAAAAATCAAATAGGCGATAGCTATTTTAAGCAACACACTAGTAATTTATATACACATCCCATAAAGCAAAATGGTTCAAATTGTATATTCTTCTGGGTTGAAATTTAGATGCTGTAAATTTCGTACATTAATAGAGGAAAGTTACATTACCCTAAATCCAGTCTAACACTACACTAGTGCGTATTCCGTACGACGCACGGGGTATATAAATTTGGAGAATGTTATAATTTGACATGCATTAGGATATATTAAAGTTTTACATACGAACATTATTCAATCATAAAATGTTTGTCACGAAAAAATCTTATATTATTAAAAACTTTTGTGTACACAACATTATGAGTTTAATTATTGGGTAACTCGTTGTGAAGAGCACGGGCCGGACGCGGGATGCACAAAGGGCTACGGAAGCTGGGCCTCACACAAGTGGGCTCTCTTGTTGGGCTTCTCTCCTAGGCTGCGGTCCTGCGGATGCTGATTGCTGTCACCGAAAAATTGCCCCACACACTTGGACAACTTTTCTTATTTCTAACTATATTATAAATTATATTTTATTCCAAGTTTAAAACTTTTTCATTTCTATTTTATGTAGATAATTATTTTATATTCTCAGCTATACTAATAAAGCATGTTTTTAGTTTGAATCATCTAACTTCCTTAATAGTGAGTTGAATAATTTATAGATAGAAACATAATTAAATGATTCCCTCTAATTTCTCTCTCCTCTCCCCTATTATTTCATATTCCATATTTCACAATTTTCTCCAAATAATACAAAAAAAATTACATACAACAATTATTAGGTTGACCATCAAATAAATCAAAATAAGACTGTAAATAAACGTAAACTTTTCCTTAATAATTTCGATATTTTTTTTAAATAAAAATTGTAATGTTTCAAGTTCGACATAAAATTGGTTTGTTATTAATTGTTTATGAATAGGCTATCTATCTCAAAGTTGGTTTATCTTTTATTTATATCATCAGATATATCATGTTAGTCACCATTGGACATAAGCTCATAGGATGTGATGATAAATGTTCATTTAGATTTTAACATATACAACATAAAATGTAAAAAATACAGATAATATACAGTTGCATAACAATTAGAAAAATTTGATTTTCTTAATTAAATCTTTAGGATAAATGCATTGCCAAATCATAAAATTCCTCAAGCAAGGAGTTCGCTCTTATATATTAATCGAGATTTCTGTGCCGATAATTTGCATTGTTCCAAAAAAATAATATATTTTTCAATAAAATAAAAATAATGTATTTGTGACTAATGAAATCAAACTACGAAATAAAGAAAAGAAGTAAGCAATGAGCAGTCTGGAAAAAATTCTATTGTGCGTGAGATTGTCTTTAATCAATTCAATATTTATTTTTACTATAGTAATATAGGTTATAATAACGCAAGAAAATGATGTAAATTATATTACTTAGGAAAATCATATATTCACTACAAAAAGAATTCATAAACATTGAAATGTTAATGTATCATAGTTTTTTCCTTTTTTTTTATATATATATTTTGTATCTATATTAATATTGATTTTCGTTTGGATCAATTTATGACATGTAGGTGATTTGTAAATATAATTTGATAATATCCATTAATTACCCTAATTTTTTTGGTTTCTATAGATACTCGGTTTTTTAAAATTTGAATGTCTTGTTCTATTCATTTTTTTTAAAAACAATTAATATTTATTTTAATATAAAATATATTTTTAAATTTAGATTATGTAATTTATTTATTAAAAAACATAGTTATTTTTTTTAAAGTACTTGATTTTGGTAAATTAATCATTTTAGATTTTTGAATTTATGAAACATTGGAAGAAGATAATCTAAAATATCCTCAAAGTCCCCTACGAAAAAAATTGCATTGTTTGATAAGTATAAACTCACCCAATTAGTCCATACATGTAAAGGATAATTAAATCAGGTTAAAAAATAAAAAATAACTCAAAGATTTAGGCTATTTTAGTGGGCTATATATTGACCACGGAACAAACATTTTGAATTCAAGATGAAAACTTTATCTCTAAAATCCCAGCCGAGATTTTGACTCCTACAATGATTTAACCCACAATTCGTGGCAACATTTAATGCTAATTGATTTTTTAAAAAATAAAATAAAAAAGTTACTATTAATAGAAAGTAATTAATGATGAGCAAATTTGACCATATAGTTGACTTGGCATTTTTGATAAATGTTAATTCTTATTATATATACTAGTACGTAACCCATGCGATGCACGGGATGTAAAATTTGGAAGAATAATATAACCTCACGTGCATTAGGATCGAAATTGAAATCATTATAAAGTAAAGAGGAAGAATAATATAACCTCACAATATTATAAATAGATCTCGAGTTTGAGTCACTGACGGAAGTGGAAACTACTATTGATCCTATTTAAAAAGAGGAAGAAAAAAAAATTATAAAGTAAAGAGGAGGATAAACAATAATTATTAATTATAAATCAAAGATTCGGGGTCAAACAATGTAAAACTATTTTGTATAAGAAAATATGAAATTTACATTATTTTATATAAGAGAATATAAAATTTGTATGTTTAATATTAAAAACACCTAAAATATTATATTAGTATATATGTAAAAGTATTCAAAATTTTCTATATTATTTTTGAAAAATGTGAAGTCACCTACAACTTTTCTAAACAATTTTAGAAGGAAAACATATCTAAGAACATTTGAATTTAACATTGTGTAAAAAAGATTTTTCTAGACTATTTTGTAAAGAAAACATGTCTATATTTAAATTTAATATGTGTATATGTACATATATATATATGCGTATGTTCTGTATAGTTTTTTAGAGATAATAATTCAACACGTGTATTTGTTTTAGGAAATGAATAACAAACTTAATATCAGTTTTGAATATTGATAAGGTGTACGAAATATCTTCTCCTTATAATACGGATTTTGTTTTTGAATCTTAAAATTATCCCAAATATCTTCTCCTTATAATACAATTTTTTTTTCTTCAATTTATCGTTAAAAAATATGTTTAAAAGGCGTGTGAAATGGGATTATTTCATTACCATAAAAAAATATGTGATAAGGATGCTCGTGTGAAATGGGAATATTTTGTTACCATAAAACATTTATGCGATAAGGACGCTATTAATGAGGCATGTGAATTGGGGTTATTTCATGAGAATTAAATCGGTATAATTAATGAGTTTAAAAGGCGTGTGAAAAGGACATAAATGTTGAGCGTGTGAAAAGGACATAAATGCTGAGCGTGTGAAATGGACATAAGAGTTACCGATTTTAGAAAGTAATAAATGTAAAACTGACTTTGACCATTAATTAAGTTACTAATTTTGATAAATGTTAATTCTTATTATATAAGTATAGATTAGCTTCAATTATAGATACCAAGTAACTCAAAAAAGGCTGCCTTGTTTTCTGATGCATGTGGCATAGACGATTATCTCAAAGAAGTTTGTTTCTTTGACGATGCTCTTTTGGTCAAATAAAACATAAAACAAGATACAGACGTGTTATTATTTGAGTGATGAGAGGGGATTCGAGATCATTGTATTTATTTGCTGTTAGAGGTGGCCACGGGTCGAACCGGCCCGCGACCCGAACCGGAAACCGGCACCGAACTGGCCTGGACCGGCCCGTAACCGGCCACCTAAGGGCCAGTTCGTTTAACCGGACCGTGAGGGCCGCGGTTCGGTCCCGGGCTGCTCCATTTTTTTTTTGGTCCCGGTGGTCCGGGCCGGGCCGGGACCGGGTCACAGGCTGGAGGCCGGGCTCAAGTGTTTTTTTTATTTATTTATTTTTTTATTTTTTTCCCTGCGGGCCGTGCCGGGCCGGGTCCGAACCGGCCCTAAGCAAATGGCAGTTCGATCCCGGGCCGGGCCGGGCCCGGACCCGTTGAATGGCCATGTCTATTTGCTGGTACGTCTTCGAACCGGCCCTAAGCAATTGGCGGTTCGGTCCCGAGCCAGGATGTTGAGGACCGGCGGCCTGTCGGGCCGGGCCGGACGGACCCGGACCCGTTGAATGGCCATGTCTATTTGCTATTATGTTATTATTTTTTTTTTTTCTTTTTGTTTTATGTTCGTTGGAGACAACTTTTGGTTAGGAGTTGATGTGTTATTTTTTACTTTGTATCATCTTTGCTTAGGGAATTAAGCTGAATAAAAATACACATCATTATTTATATAAAAAAACCAAGAAAAATTAAAAACATGTTTAAAAGCCCAAGTTTACTAAATAATCATTATATACTTTTACAAACCAGATTTGGTCGTATTTATTGTATGCACGTAATTTTATTTTTATTGTTTAATAGATAATAAAATACTTAAAATTTGATTTAAAAATAAAAAAATGAAATTTAAAATACAATTGTGTCTATTTTCTTTATTTTGTAATTTAAATATTAATTAAAATTTAAAATATAATGAAAATTATCATCATTATTCAACATATCGGCTTTATCTATTATTGAACTATTATTTAGAGAAATGTCATTATACACTATAACATTAATTATGAACATATAAATAATTATATATTATATATATAATAAATAAAAAATTATATATTATTTAAACCGGTTCGACCGGTTCGATCACTGGTTCGACCAGTGAACCGATAGCTTCACCTGTTCGATGACCGGTCCGGTTTTGACAACATTGGTTAATATTATTTATTGATGTAATTAATTTAAAAATATATAAATATATTTAAAATAAAAATTGTGCCATATATCAATTCTATTCAATTTTCAGAATTTATCGTATCTCATAATAATTAAAAATAAAATCATATAAATACGATTTTATGACAATATTAAATATAGTAATCCAAGATAAAAAAAAAATGTAAATGCAGAAATTTTTTGGTGATGAAAACAAGGTTTGAATCCCTTTGAGGTTGTCAAAATATACAAACATCCAGAATGTGTACTCAATCAGCAACTTATAATACCAAAGACCAAGACAAATAATAGTAATAAAAGCATACAACAGATAAAAATGCAAATTCAGAAATCCATTATTAATAAACATCTAAATATACCACGGATACTAAGCACTCAAGGTTGAGAAGTTTAGAAAGTCACATTACCCTGATTCAAGAGTAACACTAATACATTAGCTTCCATTAGAGATACCAAGTAAATTAAAAGGTTGCCAAAAGCTGCAGCACAGACGATTAGGTCAAAAGTTTCTTTGACAATGCTCTTTCAGCTTTCTTCAGAAATGAAAGACGATATTCTCGCAAGGCCATAATAACTGGGAATCTTGCACCTCGTCCTCAGGGCATTCATAGGAGCAGTGTGTTCTCCTGTAAATACAACAGCACTTGCACCTAACTTTAGCTTCTTTCCTATGACACCAAGTACAAGCCCACTTCTCCTCATCAAATTCACCAGGGTCATCAAAGGCGCAAACTGCTGTGAAGTAAACCCGGTTAAACTCAGCCCCTTGCGGCAAAATGCTTAAATAAGGGCAGCGCCTATATATGTGATGCCTATAACAAATAGTACAGGGGCAAGCTTGCCGAGGAAGATGCTCTAAACAACACTTGCTGCAAAACTCAGGTGGGCTTTTGTCTTTGAAACTGCCAGGGAAACTAAAAATTGGATTGGGTGGTGGAACGAATGGGGGTACCACCACTTCTCCTGGAACCTGTGGAATATAGGAGGGTACTAGTTTGCTCTCCACCTTGTTGTTTCCTGTTCAGTTAAATAATTACAACAATAAAACAGTACATCCTCAAACAATATTAATCAATTCTAGAGAGTAGGATATCAATCACCATTGGATCACTTAGATTGCCATATCGTATTCTAGGAACAAATCTGACCTAAGTGTGACTTGATTATTACAACCTAATTGCACAAATTCCAAATAAGCACCACAGAGTAGAGAAAGCAATATTGGAACTATTAGTTAACCAGAACAACGACCAATGTCAGCAACCAAAATCAATTCCAGATAATGAGATCATACGGGACATATGTAACACTAACAACAAAATTAAAACTGAGAAGAGCAACAAACTGGATCCTAAAGAATAAATTTCATATCAAATAAGAATTTGAAGGGAAATTCCATACCGGCAGAAGCGGCTTTGGTTGATGACCACATGAAACTGGGAAGAGATTTCATATCCAGATAACATCTTGCTAGGTTTTTCTGAGAGTTAGATCTACCCAATTTCGTTATACCTGACAAAAACAATCTCGGATTAACAGCAATAACGTTCAGATCTGTGGGAGAAAAAAATCAGATCCTAGAGAGAGAAGACAGCCTCGTTCGAAATCAGAGTTATTTCAACGAGAGTTCATATTCATACCTGTGGTGGGAGGGCGGCCGAGATTTTCAAAGGATGTCGCAAGGTTTTGCTCATCTTCCACCTCCGTACAAGACATCTCTATGGCTCGGTTATGCAATTCTGAGGTTATTTGTCTCCTTATAGAATTTTATATCACAATTCACAAATATTAGGTAATATTAAGGCTTAACGTTTTTTGTTATTGTGTCACCCTAAATTTTCAACTTTTTCATTTAAATGTTTCAAATTTATATTATACTCAATATAAGGCTTACTGTTACTGTTCTACTTTTTTAATTAAATTGTCAAATTATATTTTTTTAATCATAATAACTAAACACCCGTACATTAAATGAAAATGTCAACCTGTGTTGAATTTTTTTACTTATATCATATAAAAATATCGATATTATTTACTATTACATAAATATAAAATATATATCTTAAATAAATAAAAATAATATGGTGATATGTATATGCATAAGTGCAAAATATATTTATTTAATATAAATAAAATAGATTAATTTTTTTACTTAATTAGATGTCTAATACATCAAGTGTCGTATCAATCGTGCTTCACAGTTTTTTGGATGTTATGGGAAACGATGGAGATGGGATATGAAGAGACACTGTGTATTAGATGGAGGGTTAAAAATAGAAAAATATGAACAAAATATCTAAAACGATATTTATTTTATCAATGATCAATTATGCCAAAGTGACAAATAATAAAAATTGGAGGGAGTATATATTATTATATATTTTAGTATGACACATGTTACTTGTGCGACTTATATGTGTTATATTATAATAAATTTTCTACCTTATAGCATATAACTATATTAAACATAAATATATTAATTGATAATAATTTTATTTTCTAATTAATTTTAATAAATAATTTTTTAATTATTATAAAGATAAATATAATTTATTTATTTTATATATACAATATGGATGTCAAATCGAAGCTCATCAAAAGATCATTAATTTGATATATTATATGTGTAAAACCGATAAGAAATACAAAAGTTATCAACTTTTAAAATATATTTTCAATTTAATGGTTATAACAGGAAACGATATTAAAATACAATTAATATAAATATTAATTTATATCCAAGCCTAACTCCAAAGTATGATTTTTTGCCAAATAAGAGGCATGACAGTTTGCCACGTAGGCTTAGCGCATTCTGAAATTATATATAGAGGGGATATTAAGGCTTAACTTTTTTGTTATTGTGTCACCCTAAATTTTCAACTTTTTCATTTAAATGTTTCAATTTTATATTATACTCAATATAAGGCCTACTCTTACCGTTCTACTTTTCAATTAAGACTCCAAATATGTCTCCTATATTAATAAGGCAATCGGAGACGCCATGTCTGCTTGACACGTACCGCTCCGTATGGTGACCAAATTACTAATTTTAATTAACTAGAGTTAATTTTAAAAAAGATAGTGTGGTTAATTGTTAGTGGGATTTTAATAATATATTAAAATAATATTTAAAATAAAATGATTATTAATGATTTGATGTAAAAGTAGGATATAAATGATTGGAAATGATTGGTAGTTAAAATTATGTGAGTTGATGAATAGTGAATTAAAGTTGATGTGATATATAAGAATGATTGGTTTATAATATTTAATTATATAAATAATATAAATGATAGTGATGTTGAGTTAAAATTGAGTTAGATTTTGAGTGTGAAATGAATTATTTCATAAACAAGCATTCTATCTTTTATGGAGAAAAATATGGGTCTCTATGTTGTCCAAGTAATACATTGTCTACTAACTTACTTTAAGTTTAATGTTATTTCGTTTGTCTCTTTATTTCATGAATTTTTGGTCGTATACTTAGTGCGATAATTAGTTACACATTGTTTATCTGCGAAATTTCTTGAAAAAGGAAAAACAGAGACCCTCCTGTAATCCTCCAGCTTCCCCATTCATTCGTTATGTATGTTGTAACGCCCCGTTCAGTTAATAAATAGAAACGATTCACTTTGCTCGACTTTAAAGTGAAATTGGAAGTGTTTTCATACAAATTTAGTTAGTCGTCTAAATGATATAAATTTTCTAAGTATGTGATCAAATTGATAAGTTATAAGGTTCTATTGATTTAGACAAGATGGTTTATTTAAATTATTAAGAGTATATTCGAAATATTTTAGTTTTTCAGTTTTCGGTTGTTGTCGGAATTTAAATCCGATTTCGATTTCGATTTCGAAAAAAATTTATATTTATCTATATATTTAGTAAACATCAAGATGAACTTTAACATGAAATTTCAGAAAGGAAATCAGCACAATTTTAGAAAATTAAATAAATAAATAAATAAATAATAGTAAGTGATATTGTTTTTTTTAAAATAAAAAATAAAGTGTTAAATTTAAACCATATTATTTCTCATGAAAATTCTTGATATTGATATATACATCATGTGATTTGTTATTATAAGTTGAGGAATTATAAGAATAAAATTTTTCAGCATAAATAAGAAAAATGCAGAAAGCAAAAGCGAGAAATTTAAAATTTTTTATTTTACGGTAATCGTTCGTTTTAAGTCGGAATTCGCTTTCGTAAATTCTATATTTTTCATTAATTCACGAATTTTATCATGGAAATCAGATTAGGATCACATGATGGCCCTTTCTAAGCATTGACTATAGATTGGAGAAGTTTACAAGTTATGATTTCTATTCTTTATCTTTATTTATTTTATGAAATTTTTCTAAGTATTCTTAAGTAATAAATGAGCCATTTTAACTTAAATTTCGAGCCATATCAAGATATAGTCAAACGGAGAAGTTTTATCTTGATATATACAAGAGAAATCATGCATTAGAAGTAGTTATCAAAGCTTACTCACATTTGTGCAAGATTTTAGAAAACATTAATGGTAAGGGCCCTAAGATGTTGTTTATGGTAGAGTGTTGAGGTAAAGAAGGTGATGTTGTCTCCTTTGCTACCCTATATAAAGGGGCCTCAGGATAGGCTCGAAATTCACACCATAATAAGAAAAATCTTAGCTATAGAGTGAGGAAGAAAAACCGAGAGAAATCTTGCCGATGATAGGTTGAGATCAACTTTCGGAGTTTCATTTTCATATTTCTTGAAGGGGGTTAGATGCTAACTTCTTATCATGTGTTGTAGTTGAGATTAAGTGTATAATTATGTATTTTACATGTCATACATATTTAGTTTTTAATAAATTTTAAGCATGAAAAATGATATGTTATTTCCAGCTCAATCACATGTTATATATGTCCTGTTTTAATTTGAATTTTAGCATGATATACATATATTGGGAAAATATACTTTATATGGTTATTTCTTGTGTAAATTATGAGTACATAGGAATAAGAATTATGTCATTTGGTTAAGTATATCTCGAATTATAGATTTTTAAAATGTATCATGCAAATTGAATTTTTATGCCAAGTTTCAGCTGCTTATTTTAAACTCGAATAAGTCAACCTACGTGCATGAGAAAAATGTGAAATTTTAATGACATGTATACCTATATGTTAAGAGTTTATCTGTTAAATTTCAGAATGTTATGTTGAGAAATGAAGAAGTTAAAAATGCTAAAACCCATGCCTGTTAGGTTGATTTTACATGCAATGGAACTCACTCTACATTCAAGTTTTTTTTTTATGAAACTTTTATGAATATTTCTTGTATGAGTATTTGTCAAGATGACCAAGTTTAAACTTGATATGATAAGTATGAGAATAAAAAAAAAAAAATTATTTGAAGTTAGGTGTAAAATTATCATAATTATATGTTAATTTTAACACTTGAGTGGTTTAAGTTATTGAAGTTCTTTTGATCTAAAATTTTATAAGAGAGTATATAAATATATCTACTATTTAATTACCAAGTTAAATAATTTTTAGAGAGATATGTGATTTTTGAGAAAAATAAAATAAAATACTTAGATATATTTGTTTGTATATGTAGTAGTTGTGGAGAGTCGAGCCTCCAACAGCTACAACAGTTATTCAACACTTGCAAAGTCTTTTCAACATATCAGGTGGGGGACCTGCACTGAGTATTACATTGCTTATAATCTTGTATCATGTATGAGGTATGTATGTAGATATTTTACCCGAACGGTCAAGTTATGCCGTTCGTGGTCCAGTTAAGATGAGTTTATGATCACCCGGTCTTGTATGGAATGTTTTCCCATCTTGGGTTTCTGGGGAGGCAACCCCCAGAGTGTGATCACATGATAATCCGGACAGTTCCCGGATGTTGCACCAGTAAAGTAAAGTTTTATTTATGTATATACTTAGTTCATGATATGGGATTATATGTGCTGTTTATTCAGTGTTGGTTTTTACGGAGCATAGTGGTTTTGCTCACGCCCCCATTATGTTTTTCAGGTGATGGAGTTCAGCATGGAGCGTGAGCCGAGCAGTGGTGTGGTGATGTCAGAATAAAGCTGGACAATTATTATATTTGTGGTTATGTTGGTTTGTGTTAAAATAATTATGACTATATTTTATTTCTGTACTGATAAACCAGAACAATAAATATGTATGTATAATTATGTTATGTATAATTATTTCTTATCTATATTCTCTAGTTAGATTTTATATGTCGATATATTCATGAGTAAAAGAAAGAAAAAGTAAGAAGTCATGTTAGTAAGTAAGTAATACCCTGTAAGTTAAGTTTCAATATTTTCAAAAACAGTATCTCTATTTTTCGAAGATAATCGCGAAAATTTTAATCAAAAAAGTTAGATAAGGCGGGGTGTTACACAAGTTGTAGTTGATGATAACGCGATGAAATTTCTAAAGACCTCTTTTGTGGTTGATGGCTTCATTTGGTGGAGATGAATTATCAACTGGCTTCTTCTCAATTTTGAACTAGCGATTGTATAGGCATAGTAATCCCGATAATATAAAAGGAAATAAAATGTCGGCTGGTAAGTGCCTACTTGGAACTTAAATATTTTATTTTTTCTATTTTTTTTAAGATAAAGGCTCATTCGTCGCTTTTGCTGTGCCACATGACCATCGAGAAAAGCCAAGAAGCGTATGTGGTTATGTCGAGAGCGAAGAGGAGTTCTTGAGAATGAAGAGATAGAAACATTATCAAGCAGTTAGACATGAATGTTATTTTTTTTATATAATTTTTAATTTTTAGTACTCTTTCATGGTGGTTTTAATATATTTGTCAAAATTAGTATTTTTTTTCCCACTATATGTGATTTTTTTCGAGTTGATTTGTATGAAACTTACGTATAATAAAGTTGATGAAGTCTCAAGTCTCCTTTAGAAAATAGGCCTAAGATTTTGTTGGGATCAAATAATTTAGCGTAAGTTTGGAAAAATTATTTTTTGCTTGCAACTTTTAGTTCTCTTTAGCCATGTTTGGACATATCTCATTGCAATATTAAAGTGTAAATTAAAATTACAATGTTTGTTTTCATTCAGGTACATGTTCGTTCGTTGAAGGCTCGATAGGTAATATGTTCTACTATTTTGCATAGCCATGTGGACTTCATTTGTTAAATGTAAGTTAGACTTTTAATATTAATGCAATATAATAAACAATACTTTACAACTAAGTGCGTGTTAATTTGATTAATACTTAATTGTTTCAATTTTCTTTTTGTCTTTTTTTTTTTACCAAGTTTTGCAGAGAATTGTGTTCAAAAGATCATAGGCTTAAAAAAACTTGAAGAAGCCCACTACAGATCAATTTGTATAAATGAATGTGTCAATCTATTTTTTTACATTTAAGTCGAAAGTCCTGCTGAGGCTGATTAATTGTTTGATTTGCTTAGATTTTTATGTCACAATATGTTTATATATATATATATATGTATATTAATTAATTATTAAAATTAAAAACTTTCCTCATTTGATTTTTCGATCAACATTTCCTCAACAAGATCTTAATTTTACTTCATGTGTAGCCTCCAACACCATCCACCATAAAAAATGTTAAGCTCGAGAGAGAATTTAGTAGTGCTATTTACTAGCTCAGAAAATAATTTGGACATTTGGAGTAAGACAATGACAATCACGTAGAACTCAATTATACTATTGAAGATAGTCATTTTAAATTGAGTTCCTATTGATACTTGACATTTTTTATACTTTTGCTTAATATTTTCTCATATTATATTTAAGTATTGGCTTGCAGAAATTACTAGAATCAATGAGAATTCTTTTTGGGTTAGATAAATTGCTTGGGGTATCTTTCGTGTTTTGATGTGTACGTAATATTGATATTTAGTATTTACTGCAGATTCTATGAATGAATCTATCAACCTACTTCAAGTAACACATAATCTCGCTATGCAAGTGTCATGAACTATAGTTTTTAAAAGTTGTTAGTCTAAAATAAAATTTATTTCTTCTATGTTGTTTCTTACATGTCAGAGGTACTTTTATTTATTTCTTTTTAGCTTTAGATGGAGTTACTATTTGTTATTATATATGTAGATTTATTTTTTTTTTCACATTTTCAAATGGAATATTTAGCTTAATTTTAATTTCTCTTTGTTGTTGCGTCTAAAAAAGTGAATGTACTTTATTTTCATACTATCATTTGACAGACATGTTGTTTGCCCCACCTTTTAGCAATTTAAAGTACAAATTTGGTGCATTTTGAAATTATTACTTGACATTATGTTAGGAGCTTATAGTAAGTATTTATAAATCTGTTCGAGTTTGAGGATTGAAGAGATCAAGAAGTGATTGCAGTGTAGAAGTTTTTGATTAGTCCGTATAAATGTGTCCTTCGTTGGTGTTTTTGATAAATATTGTCTAAATAGTTGTGCAATTCTATTTTCTAGGTTACTATTTTTTATTCTTGGATTTTATGGTTAATTTGCTAGCTTGCTATTTTCTTATTTCTAAGAATTTAAGGGATGGTTGATCCTTTTAACTTCTTTATTTTAAATTCAAGCATGGTACATTAAAAGTGAGAAAAATATAGGCAATTCACAAGTGTTAGGTGGAAAATAAGATGTTATTCAAGCTATTTTATTAGGTTTGCCTCCATCTAGGTATCTTTATATTTTGACAACCAATTCTAAAGCACCATGCATGAGTTTAATTTAAATATTTATATTATTTAATCCTTAGTTTAAATGATATATAACATTTGTGGTTGTTCAAAATTTGTTGGAGTGTTTTTCTATTTGACGAATGAAATGAGAGCGGTATTTTAATTTGTAGCTATATTGTGAAGTTTTTATTACATTTAAATTGTAATCGTGGAATTTGCAGTATTGGATAACACGTGTTGAAGTTTATCTCTTCATGAACAGACACCACTCTGCGTTGTTGAAGGGAATAAGGCTCCTCATTACTGAAGTCTTAAAGAGCAAAATACTATTTACTAAGTATATTAAGGGTTATACTACTCATTCTCAATCGTGGCATTGATTATAATTGCATCGTTATTAAATGACATTTAAGGATTTTGGTCAAAATGAAGCTTATGTGGTGTACAATTGTTATAAAGTATATTGAACCAACTGAATGAATTAAATTTACGATTATGTATTAAATTTATAAATGTAGCAATGGATAGTTTTTATATGGTTTAAAATGTTTAAGTATTAAAAAAACTATTGATTATGCATTAAATTAATAACATATTTAAAAATATTTCACTGGGCCGACTGTGCTAAGCACAGCCGGAGCATGCTAGTCACTTTATATTCTGATATAATTATATAAACCACAATACTCTCTTTTTTTTTTTAAAAAAAAATGATTTAAGTACTTGTAATAAAAAATATTAAATATCTTTAGTAAATTTTTTTTCTTTTGTTTTTTTCATATCTTTAATAAAATTGACTAATAAATATTTATTTCACAATTTTGTAACTTAATTTTAATCAAAATATGTGATAACATTTAAATATAAGCTATTTAAAAAATAACAATTTTATTTTTTTAAATAAACTTATAAAAAATATTATTTGTGAATAAAATTCATATTTTTTAAAAAGTTAAGAATATATAAAATTAATTAACGCCTATAATAAAAGTATTAAATATATTTGTAAAACTAGCTTCGTAAGAAAATTAACACAAATATGAAACCTAAGAAGATCCCCGTTCGTCTCCCTAACCCTAGCCGATCGACATCCATAAATTGAGCCGGTAGAATCTCTCTTGCCGGACGTCTGGGTCCATCGGTGGACGGCCTCCGGTCGCTCGTCCATAGCGGTGCAACTCTCTTATCAATTGTCGATCCTCTTCGTGCTTCGAGTTTTGGCCAACGCTGCAGGTTCTCCTTCCTTGTTGGTTGCCCGAGTACAGGTTCGGTCGGCAATGGTTGGGGTGTGGTGTTGGTTCATGGACGAGGTTGGGATAGCTGCAATCAGTTTCGGCTGGGTCGCTGGGACGCTGATTCTCCTTTGTTCGCCTTCTCGTCGTCGGTCGAGACTACGCCTTTTCGTTGGCGAAGCGGCGATTGGCTGTCGTCGCCTCCTATTTCGACACTCGGCTATGTCAATTGGAGGTATGCCCACGATTTTGCTGCTTTTGTCTCGGTTTTCTATTTTGTCTGTGATCGGAGGGACCTCTTGGTTCCTTCTTGGTGAGTGGAATATGGGAGTCCACGGTTGGTGGTCGTAGCTCTGCTGGGGTTGCTGTTTCCAGTTAGTGCTAGGCTGCTTGGTCGTGTTTCAGTTGCTTCGGGCTCGGTTAAGCCGTGTTTGCCTCTTCTCGTGATTGGAGTGCGGGACAACTCTTCGGTTGGTCCTGGGGTGCGGGTTGCCGTCTTGCTAGGCCTTATGTAGTGGCGGACGGTTATTTCTGTGCTTTAGAGCTATATATGGAGTTGTTTCGTCTGCCGTATACTTTGTATCTGGTGGAGGGGGTTGTGTCCTCTTTCTTGTTTTTGTTTCTAGTCTTAGTTGGTCTGTGTTTATGTTATTGTACTGTTTGCGTGTTTTTGGTCTGGGCCATTGGCCTCTGTGAGCCCGAGTGTCACCTTATTATCCTGTTGGGATCCGACACTCGGGTATTACCTTGTTGGGGTACTTTTAGTTGTTTTGGTTTTAGTTTGTGTTTTGTAGTTGTGTAGTTGGTTAGTTGCGAGTGTTTTTATTCTAGCATTGCTAGTCGGGATTCTAGGCGGTCTTCTGACATGTCCTCCCACTTTTTCAATTGTTGGATGTTCTGTATTCAGCCGTTGGCTGCTATATATTCGCACATTTGTGCATTTTGATTTATAATATCTTCTATCGTTTCGGAAAAAAAAAAAAGAAAATTAATACAAATTAGTTACATTTATGCAAAATAAATTTAGCTTAAAGGAATTAATTTTCTTATTAAGTAATTTACTAAAATATTTCTTATTTGAATTGATCTTCTCATTAAATTAATTTTCTAAAAATATTTGTAATTATTTAAAAAATATTTTCTTAAAAAGAATAAAAGTGTATTATGGTTTACATAATTGTATCAAAATACAAAATGATTTGGAGTCATAAATTGAAAAGTAGAATGTAAAAGTAGGCTTTATATTGACAATAACTTATAATTGAAACCTTCAAATGAAAAAGTTAAAACTCCAGGCCTTATTGTGACACAATAACAAAATGTCAAGCCCTATAATAGAATTTACCCCACAAAATATAACCTGCCTTGGACTCGGTTTATCGTGTTTTAATTATGATCCAAGGCCCACAATCCTATTCTATAAAAAAACCAAATCATAATCATTCCAATTTAATAAATATAAAATAAAATTCAATATTTGAATATTCTTCAAATAACTAGTATGTGGCTCATGTGATTCACGGGGAACAATATTACAGTTGTGTTATAAATTAAATATATAAAAAATGTTAATCATGGTTAACCCATTATTTTCAAAACCAGACCAGTTCAAACAGTTCGAACCGATGGATCGAGAATCGGCTTATCGACCAGTCTGGTTTGGTTAAATAAAATGTTTGCTAGAGAACCAATCAACAGCATCGGTCGGATTGGTAGTATCAGTATGATTTCTTAATTAAATTTTGTTATATTTAAAACTATTTATAATATAAATAAAAATTTATATTTAAATAAAATAGAGATTTATAAATTATTTATCATTTAGTTAAATTCTTCAAATATTTAATTAATATGTTTTAATGAATTTATTATAAAAGCACTATATATATATATTAATATAAATAAAAATTTATATTTAAATAAAATAGAGATTTATAAATTATTTATCATTTAGTTAAATTCTTCAAATATTTAATTAATATTTTTTAATGAATTTATTATAAAAGCACTATATATATATATATATATATATATATATATTGATGATCGAATCGGTCAACGGTTGAATAAGTATTTAGTGATGATAGTGAGAATGAGAATGAATTTACGAGAAAGATATTCTTTTTATTACTTAATTACGAGATCGATCTCGGATATTGAGGTCGGTTGTTCTCTTACACTTGGGAATAATCACAGTCTTTTGCAGAATAAATATAGAGAGAGAGAAAGAGTTGGTAGAGAGATGAATCACCCTCAATAAATGAGGGTGATCAACTATTTATAGTGACCCTAATCTGCTACTGTTCATGTACTGTTCGCCTTGTCACTTCGCACAGCAATTCGGATGGACAGGCCGACGCCGCTCTGATAGGCATTAAATGGGGTCTGAGGTTTTTCTCAATGATTACCTGTCAGACATTAAATGCACACATGTTGTAGCGCCCCGTTTATTTATGAATTATTTGGAATTATTTATTGTTATCGTTAATTTTATTTAATAGTAATGTTATTATTATTATTATTATTATTATTATTATTACTATTAATTGCGAAATTGTCAATTTAAATGTCTAAATGCTTATTAATGTGTGTATTAGATATATATAAATAATTATCCAAATTTTATTTTAATTGTCGTGTGAACGAATCGAGCTAATTTATTGGCTAAGTCGAGCCCGAGAGCTGAGCCATATCCTCAATCGAGCGTTGGGTTTGATGTTCGACCCATTTATTGGAAAAATTAATCGGTCCATATTTCTTTAGCTTAGTATTTTCAGCCCAATGGTTTTAAATTCAGCCCAAGGATTAAATCCAGCTCATGTGAAATTTAAATCCTGGCCCAATGCATTCCATGGTTTTGGCCCAAATCCCTTACATCACCTTGGCCCAAATTGAGTTAAAGTGGGCAGACTTATCTTTTTCTTCCTCCTCACGCGCAGCGACCAAGTCCTTCAGTTCAAAAATCTATCGCGATTTTTCGGCAAAATCATTCTCCACGTTCTCTCTTCATCTCTCTCGTTTACTTAAGACTCGGTCGAGGAGTTCTCTGTTGAAAATTTTAACCTTATGCGAATAAAAACATCGCTTTATCCCAGGAGCATTCATATCGAATAATTGAGAATCAAACCGAATAAAAGCGGAAGCGTACCTAACTTCATTGAATTAAAAATTCATCTGTTCTTTGTTCTTCAGTTCCATGTGGATATCTACTTCCAAATGATCTTGTTGGACTGGTATGGTCTTTCAAACGATCGAAACCTTATAGCAGATTTTTATCCATAGTGTTTGTATTGGTATATATCTTTTGTATATACCATTATTCTGAAGTGAGAAGGTGAGTACTTTTAAAGGGAGAAAGCACCCCTTCATAAATCTGCTCGTGTCTTTTCGTCGTTTGGGGCCATAACCAAAGAAATAAGAAATATTGATTTTCAGTTCGGTCCCTCAACAAACAGAAAATCACATAATGGTATTCACACTTTTAAATCCATAACAATTTGATACTCTCTTTATTCAAAATTACAAATTAGTAGATCACTTTAATTGAATAATATTATGACAACTATACACATTTAATTTACATATGTTGTCCAATAAAATATTTCTAACAATCTCCCACTTGGACTACATATGCAACCGAACAAATGTGTACTACTTTATGAGCTCAAACTTTGTTGTCACAAACAAGAGTATCCTTTACCAATCTCGTCCATTAATCGTATGACATAGGACTAAAGAGGCCTTCATCATTTTTAGCATGAATCAACCCATCAATAATCACACATATCAATACAATTAAATGACATAGATCAATCATGGAAGTGTAGTATGAAAATTACATGTAATGTGATCTTTCATGCCTATTTTCAACTGGCCACATTATTCCATAGTGAGATCAATATAAAATCAAAATTACAGAGTATATTACACCGAATACTTTATATCTGATCAGTAATATCCAAACACACATATACAATATGTCTATAGAACAATTAATACAGACTCCCACTAAAACCAAGTATCCTGAAATTGTGTCACACCCATTCGAACAGTATATTCATGAAAGACCTTG